GTTCAGGTTGATAATATTCCAAAGGTCGGTCGTCTTTCTATGCAATATATATAATGATAATCTTATAAATATAAGTAAGTATACTCGTCGGGAAAAATTTAGGTTTATTAGCTTGTAAATGAACAAAACAATACCTAAGGAAAAATAAGGAATAAAAGAGAAAGAACTGAGAACCATGTAATTTTGGTGAAAGTAATCGACTAGAATCTAAGTCCAAAGAAAAAACCTCCGATACGAGTAAAATAAAAATAACTGAGCAAAGTGCTCAAATCTCTAAGTAGAGTAAGTCTGATCAAATTTTATTTCAGAGAACAATAAAATTAAATTTTGTTTGATTAAAACCCTGCTAATATAGAAGCACCTAAGAATCATTTGAGGCACATAATGCTTTGGTTCAAGAAAGGAAACTCAGCAGCCGAAGCGGCTAGAAACATTCACTCAGTTTATGGAGAGGCATGTGTGAATGAAAGAACTTGCAGAAGATGGTTTGCAAAATTCAGAGGTGGAGATTTCACCCTGGAAGATGACGACCGAACCGGACGTCCAGTTGAGTTTGATGAAAAGCTTCTTGAAGCAGTCCGTGAAGAAAATCCTGCTTTATCAGTTGAGGAATTGGCAGTGGTTCTCAGTTCAAACCATACAACTGTTCATCGTCATCTTCAACAACTTGGAAAAGTTCCTCAACTTGGAAAATGAGTGCCTCATGAATTGTCTGAAAACAACCTCAAATCCCGAGTTGACATCTTCTCTTCTCTCCATTCTCGCCTACTTGTTTCACCTTTTTTGGATAGACTTGTGACTGGCAACGAAAAATGAATATTTTATCGAAATGTTAAGAATCGTAGACAGTGGCTTGGTAAAGCGGAAGGACCCCAGCCACAGCCGAGAAGGGAACTTCATGGGCAAAAGGTTCTTCTTTCAATCTGGTGGGATCGCCAAGGAATAATCCACTTTGAATTCTTACCACCTAATGCAACAATTAATGCTCAAATATATTGTCAGCAATTAGAGCGTTTGAACCAAGCTTTTAGGAAAAAAAGACCTGCTCTAGTGAATCGAAAAGATGTGATGTTTCATCAGGACAATGCGCGACCCTACACAGCAAGAATCACATCACAAAAGATCGAAGAACTTAGTTGGGAAAAAATTCCTCATCCACCTTATTCTCCCGATCTTGCTCCTTCAGACTACCATTTGTTTCGTAGCTTACAGAATCATTTGGAAGAAACATCTTTTGTAACACAGGAAGAGGTTAAAACTGACATTTGTGAGTTTTTCAAATCAAAGCCAAAATAATTTTACAGTAATGGAATTAGTAAGCTTGTTAATAGATGGAAGGAAGTCATAGATAATCAAGGAAAATATATTGTTGATTGAATCTGTAATTAAATGTAACATTTGGTCACTTGTTTTCTTTTATTCAAAATTCGGACAGAACTTATGGGATGACCTGGTATATGTATATATATATATATATATATAAATATATATATATATATATATATATATATATATATATATATATATATGTGTGTGTGTGTGTGTATATATATGTGTGTATATATATGTGTGTATATATATATATATATATATATATATATATATATATATATATATATATATATATATATATATATATATATATACACAAATGAGAGAAAGAACAGATGGAGTAAAATTCCACTGTTCATGGGATTTACTTTTAAAAAAGTGCCCAATACGAGGTAAAGCAATATATTATTATTATATAAGAGATTCTAATAAAACATTCTGAAATCGTTACAAAAAAGGTTTCATGTTTCAATACGAAGATTGTATTTCTTCAAGTGATGGCAAGTAACTGGTGATTAAATGATTTTTAAGGAAATTTAAAAACTAAATGTCACCTCTTTTTCAAAAGCTAATGGCGGGTGGAACATAAGGTCAGAATTAAAAATAGACTTTTGGATTACAATGGCCTGAAGAAATACAATCATAGTATTGAAACATGAAAGCTTTTATGTAACGCTTTCAAAATGCTTTTTTTTATTATAATCTCTTAGAATAATAATAATAATAATAATAATAATGAATCAAGAATAAAACGTTAAAGATTCATTTTGGCTATAATTTATTTCGTGAATATTTCTATATAATCATCTCTTCAGACCGAAAGTTCTTAATAAATGGAGACAAATTTCTCCGGACTGATATTCTAGATTAACAGGAGAAAGGGAAAGCAAGAGAGAAGAGAAGAAAGAGGGAAAGGAAGGAAGAAAATAACAGATTTTCGAATATAAAGTTCTTTTTAAAACCCTGAAATAGAGAGAGGGGGAGGACAGAGAGAATGTAAAGGAAAACTGAAAGGGAAGAAGGAAGAAATGAAGGGATAGTAGTAAAACTAAAATAGAATGACCTGACCAAGAATATTTTCCTTAAAAGGTTGAAACGTTGTACATCGGGTGATGTGGTGTGTGGTCGGATTTGAAAGAAATACAGAAAATTGACCGATATAGCCTGTTATTTTACGCAGAACAAATCAACACAATTTCAAATTAGTCTAATAAAGAAGACCTTAATAATAATAATAATAATATCAAACATAAATGAATTATTTAAAATAACTAAATTAAAGAATATTTAAGAATAATAAAAGATAAAAAATATATAAGTAAATTAACGTATAGATAATAATGCTAAATTCTTAATATAATACTAATTAATCTTAATAATACTAATTCCTTGGAATTATCCGTACCAATCACAAATTGTTATATATATATATATATATATATATATATATATATATATATATATATATATATATATGTGTGTGTGTGTGTGTGTATGTATGTAAAATGAGAACGAATAGACCCGCACAACCCACAAAGTCCACTTGTGCTTTATACAGCAACTACGTTAAGCGGACCTTAGTTATAGTTTCTGGGAGAGGCGCATAATCTGGCGAGATCATCTTTTTTTTTTTTTAATAAAGCCAGTTCGCTCAAACTCTCGGTCACGATGACTAGTGACTTCGTGCTAGCACAACCATCGACGGTTTCTGAACAGTTCTGCCTACCCAATTATATTTGCAAGACTTGGATTAAACAGTGGTATGCTTTTTCATGCACTTTTCAAAGATACCGCGCGCTGGGATCGCCTTTCCCGACCGATATAATCAAGAAGTCACCTCCCGAATCAACCATGCTGAGATTCGATATATATATATATATATATATATATATATATATATATATATAGAGAGAGAGTGAATGAGTGAGAGAGAGAGAGTTAAGTGTATTTTTAGTTTTAATCCGAGATTTTTTATTACTTAAACCGTTATTTTTTCGTTTACCGGCTTACGTATTCAAGAAAACCTAATAACGGAAACGCAGGATTCGAACCTGCGTACCTCTTTATAGGAATAACCACCGTCAGATCCGACAAGCTTTAGCCTACTCCGCTACGGGTAGCCTCACAACCAAGCAAGTTTCTTTCAACCTGGGATTTTGTCATTGGTTTATAATGGTGATTATGTTCTTATGAAAGAAGTCATTTTGTGTTCCTGCCGTAGATCGATAGTTAGGCAAAACCTTTAAAAGTAGGGAAGAGATCAATTCATTAGGGTCGGAGTACTTTACATCCAGAATTCAAAGATTCTTTCTACAAGAAATAAAAGAATTAGTTTCATTTTGGGCTTTTGTCATTGCTAATAATTACTATTATATTCTTGATAAAGAAATGATTTTCGGTTCCTGCTGTAGAGTGATAGTTAGGCAAAACCTTTGAAAGTAGGGAAATGATCAATTCAGCAAGATCAAAAATTCTTTTCATCCAGAATCCCAAGATTCTTTCTACAAAGAATAAAAGAATTAGTTTCATTTTGGGCTTTTGTCATTGCTAATAATGATTATATTGATCTTGGCAAAAAAATCACTTTGGGTTCCTACTATAGAGCGATAGTTAGATGAAACCTCTAAAAGTAAGGAAGAGGTCATTTTAGCACGGTCAGAATTCTTTTCATCCAGAATCTCAAGATTCTTACGAGATATAAAAGAACTGGTTTCATTCTGGGCTTTTGCCATTGATAATAATGATTATATTGTTCTTGGCAAAGAAATCACTTTGGGTTCCAGCCGTAGAGCGATAGTTAGGCGAAACCTTTAAAAATATGGAAGTGATCAATTCAGCAAGATCAGAATTCTTTTCATCCAGAATCCCAAGATTCTTTCAATGAGGAATAAAAGAATTATTTTCATTTTGGGCTTTTTTCATTGATAATAATAAAGATTATGTTCTTTTCAAAGAAACTACTTTGTGTTCCTGCCGTAGTGCGATATTTAGACGAAACCTTTAAAAGTAAGGAAGGGGTCAATTTGCTACGTTCAGATTTCTTTTTCATCTAGAATCACAAGATTCTTTCAATGAGGAATAAAAGAATTAGTTTCATTCCGGGTTTTTGTCCTTGCTGATAATGATGATTATGTTCTTGTCAAAGCAATGACTTTGGGTTCCTGCCGTAGAGTTATAGTTAGGCAAAACCTTTAAAAGTTGGGAAGTGATCAATTCAGCACGATCAAAATTGTTTTCATCCTGATTCCAAGATTCTTTCTACAAGGAATAAAAGAATTAGATTCATCCAGGGCTTTTGTCATTGCTAATAATGATGATTATATTCTTGATAAAGAAATGATTTTGGGTTCCTGCTGTAGACTGATAGTTAGGCAAAACCTTTAAAAGTAGGGAAGTTATCAATTCAGCAAGATCAGATGTCTTTCCGGCCAGAATCCCAAACTTCTTTAAGCAAGAAAGAAAAAAATAGTTTTTCCATTCCATTCCAGATAAACGTTTGTTCTTGATAAATTTCTTTTTTTTTTTTTAAACAATTTGATGTATTTTTCTTTAGTTTAGAAATTGCGATTACTTTCCAAATACAACTGTTTACTTAAAGTTACTACTGAAAATTATTTAGCGTTCTGTCTTTCTTTTTTTTTTTTTTTTTTTTTTTTTTTCGTTTATAGAAGGAAGCAGATGCGGGTGAAAAGTCGATGGATGAGAAACGTCGACGCTCAACCAAACAAAGAGTGGTTATTAATGAAGATCAAGTAGACCAATCCGAAGAGAGAGTATCCGAAGAAATTAAATGCGAATGCGAAGAAAACGAACCTCAGGTGATAGAGGAAAAACTCGTAGAAGATGATAGTCAGATCAAATTAATTAACAACTTTAAACTTGACTCGGATGACGAAATAGGTAAGAGTTTTTTTTTTTTTTTTTTAATTACGATATAAAAATGTTATTTTTACTATTTTGAAAATGTTAGCACTGAATAAATATCTAATCGTCGATGTTGTTTTTTAATACACGTTCGTTTGAGAGAAGTGTATTTTTATGAAGTCCAAACGGTTTGTGTAAAAGATTGTTACACGTGTATATCTTTTTCGGCCCAAATTTGTGAAGGATCCATTTCAAGTTTATGGAAAATTGTCTTTTTTTCTTTTTTTTTTTTTTTTTCGTATTTTATGGCCAATTAGAGTCGTTGTCTCATGCACTTGTGAAAGCCTGAATGGAGTCTACTTTGAGCCTAAATTTCTGAATAAATAGAACTCAAGTCATTGAACGAAGTGAGAAGACATTTTGACATTAAGAGGACAAAGCAAATCAACACCAGAGAGCCTAAAGAAGGCAACAGTTACCGGCCAGCTGTAGAGAGACTAAAGAATTTTAAAGTTCAATTGAAAATTATCCTGTGGCTGGACAACAAAAAACGAAAATGAATTTTTAAAAAAGTTCCCAATTACGAACAGTGTGATTTAAAAAAAAAAAGGGACTTTTCAGAAATTACTATATGTCCCAGAGACGCTCGTGAATCAAGTAAAAGTAGATGTTTTCGTTTTTTTCCGAAAGGTGGTTACACCTTTGTTTTTCTGCTTTCTTGAATTGTTTTCTCTTTTTATCGTTTTCAAAATCATTGTCTTTTCCCAAACTGTAATTTTTTTCATATTTCAATGGTAATTTTTTAAAATTAAAATTTATTATCCTACCTTAACAGGCGCACAAAAGGAAATGCTTTTGCAAACTTTGTATTTGCAACATTTATCGTGTAATAAATGTTTTTCCTTTAAAATTTTACGCAGTGGCAAAGTCTTATTTGAGATTTGCGTCTATTATGACTTGTTATTCCTCTTACGTTTTTGTGCTTGACACAACTTAGATTTGGTCGGGAATAGAATTTTTATAACGATTAAGAGAAAATTACTTTAGCCAGCAACCTTTTAAATTTTTATTTCTTTTTTGTTTACATTTTATATAAGTGTTAAAAGAATTGAATAATATTATTATGAACCCAAACAACCTTTCTTCTTTCATTTGTCGTTAGCAAACATTTTGAAGTTATAGTCAACAAGAAAGACCGCTTGAGTGACAAGCAGTACTGGTTACAATCTGCTCCGTCCACTGCTGATATCTTAACTGTCATTACTCACAGAATCAATGAGGCACTAAACAACAAATGCATCTCAAGGACAATCACTAGATATTTCGAAGGCTAAGGTGTGTCATAGAGAGTTGCTATGCTACCACTGTACTGTACCAACAGGGCCAGAGGAAAGATTAGTTGCCATACTCTGGTCATCTTGGCTACTAGAAGTGCATTCATAAACCGTACTATTGTCTATATATATATATTTACTAATGATCTAAGCATACATATCAATGATAAAGTTTAATTTATAAATTAAGAACAATAAAGGATCCACAACAATAACTAATGATTGAGTAGAAAAATTGTACATTTTTTTTATTAGCGTGAGGCTTATGAGTATACCAAGACTCATATTAGTTTAAACATTCTTCTCCTATGTGTCGGGTCTCTTCAGAGCGTTGACGATCATAGCTCTCCACAATTTCCCGTCCTTTGTAGATCTTAATAAAGTTTGTCTTTTTGTTATCGCTCCTAAACCTTGTCCCGCCATCCATCTACTCAAGCTCGCTATGTATATTATGCGTTGTTTTCCTCTTTAATCTGTCCTGTAAGTATCACATTTTCCAAGACGTCTTTCCTCGTTATGTGCCCAGGATATTTAAACTGCTTCTTTCTGGTGTTTTTTTCTTTTGTTTCCATTTTCTCGAAAACTTTATGGTTGTTCACATGTTCGGTCCATGGTATTCTCTGCAGTATTCTCCCGTAGAACCACATTTCTGTTGCTTCAAGTCTCTTCTTCATCTGTGAAGAGACTATCTATCATTCACTGCCATATTGGAGGATTGATATTAGATAACCATTCTGTACTCTTTTCTTTGTTATGAAGCGAAACTTAAGTAAATTTTAAGCATGAAGCGAAACTCATATTTTCTTTTGAGGCAACTTCATTTTAAAGTAAAATTTCACCTTTCTCAAATTTTAAGAATAAAACTTGAGAATTTGCTAACATGAGCTTTGATTGATTTGCTTTGATTGATTCGCTTTGATTGACTCGTTTTCTACGACTTATCAACCCTTTGCAAGTTACTTAAAACCAGAAAATATTTTTAGATTGTAAGAAATTGTTTTTGAGATAAAAATGGCTTAGTGATACAAGTCTTATTAATTAACTCATAGCTGGGGGAGAAAAGATGGCTCTTTATTGATCGGCAAATCAACATCTATGGGTTATTTAATGCCGTAATCTAAATATTTTGTACGCGATTTTATTTTTGGAGATGATAATGGTCTAGTGATACAAGTCTTTCTATTAGGTTGGTGAAAAAATAATGTCGTTTTTTGACGTTAAGTTGAACGTCAAAAAACGATATTATTTTTGCACCAACCTAATAATTAACTCATAGCTGGGTGGCAAGAAGAGGTGGGTTCATGCCTTTTCCCAAGGATATTTGCGCGTAAGTGAATATAACGAACCCAAATAGAGTTGAAACTCGACTTTACGATTAACAATTCCGTGTCGTTATCCATTACACCACCCGCATTTCCATGCTTACAGCACCTGGTATTCCCAATCGGCCACCCATTTAGACACTGTCTAGGCTCGATGTTTCTTAACTTCGGTGATCGTACGGGAACCGGGGTTTCAACGTGATGCGGCCGCAAGCTTGACATGTCCAGGCCTCAGTTAAAATGCCTGATGTTAATTAAAAGTACAGCGTTTAACAATATAATCTAATGAAAGTTATGTGACGGATTCATTCTTAGACCTTTGCATAAGATCTTTTCATTTTCCTTATTAAGGCGATGACGTTATCGTTTCAGAAGCACTTTATAACTTCTCTTTGGCATACCGGGATTGTCAGCAGCAATAGTTTTGCACTTTGGAACGGTTATAAACTGAAACTTATAAATCATATAGTTCTGGGTTTGATAGAGTGTCTACGCGGCCTTTAGGGTGATGAACTATTTTCCACCCTACAAACCCTTTCCCACAGATTAAACGTTGCAAACCTCTCGCTATTCTATCGCTAGAGTTCCACCTATTCTGACCATTATCCGCCGTGCCACGCCCTTTGTAGCGATCCTCCCCCATTCCCTTCGTATTCCACTGGCAAGATGTAAGCTTTTCCCCAGGAATCGGTAATGTTTGGAACCGACTCCCAAATAAATGTTTTCCCAACTCCCAAGCGGAGTTTGAAACTCCCAAGTGGTTGCTTTCCCGATCACTACAATCTTAACTTGTTCAAGTCTAGGGTTAATCGTTATCTTCACATATCATCAAAAAATGTGCCTCTTACCTCGAACTCTGTAACCCTCTACTTCGGGTGGCTCTCGAGTCTTGTACAGTGGGGACATTAACTGAAAAAATATAAGAAATACAGTTTAGTTTTTTTTTTTCAGTGCTTGTTGCGAGCAGGGGAACGATTATCTATACATATAAAAGAAAGATTTTGTCTGTATATCTGCCTGTATGCATATTTGTTTATACAACGACCGAGCAAACGTCGTTTTATAAAGAAAAACTGATGGAGATCAGTAAACACCAAACTTCAATAAAATCCACACCCTGTTTTTGTTCGAGAGGGGGTAAAAAAAAAATACCCTCTCTCGGACAAAATGTCATTTTTCGGCAAATTCCCTATAAGAGTATAATATACCCTTGAACAAAAAACTTTAAAAAGTTCATTTATTCTTAAAAATAGATGATCAGTAAGTTTTGCTATGACTATTAACAATACACAAGGCCAGACTCAGTTACTGGATTACAGTTAGAAGAATCCTATTTCTCTCATGGACAGTTGTATGTTGGTTTTTCAAGTGTGGGAAGTAAAACCAATTTGTTTGTTTATGCTCCAAAAGGAAAGACAAAGAATAATGTCTACCGAGAAGTATTTTAGTATAAAAACTGTTTTGTGTTTGAATAAATGAATTTGAAGTTATATTGTTGTTATAGATTTACTTTTTAACATTTTAAATCCCGGTTAAGCGCCGGGTAGCTCTACTAGTATTACATTAAGTGATATGCACCGAAATGTCTGCATTTAATATGAGTGTTTTTTTTTTGTCTTTCTTCAACTCGTTCTGTAAGTGAATGCCTGGGCTCTCAACAGCTTCCTGTTTTGTTTTGTTTTTTTGGTGGCCTAAGACATTTCTTAGCCTTTACCATCCATCTTCGCTTTTGTTTTGTCATCTATTCACACTACTTTGGGCCACCCTCTGGATTTTCTTAATTAGTAAGGTTCATGCCTTCTTTGGTTTAATTAACACCTACTAAGCTAGTGTACTGAAACTATTTGACTCATTAGTGCATATTTTTTAGAAAGAGGGTTACGTAAAATTTTAAATCCGCCAGACTTGAGATTACCATTAGCCTACAAGTTAGGCAAAAAAGAGCTAAAATCTTATAGAAACTTTATGTTGTAATGCGTTTAATTCGTTGCTATTATTATTATTATTATTATTATTTATTATTATTTATTATTATTATTATTTCCTTTGATTTTTGGTGTTTACTCATTTCTTTCCGGGTCCCAACCAGAGACCTAAGGTAAAAAATGGCATTATTACACTTTTCGCTTAGCATTTTTTGAGGAGAAAAATTTACACACATTTTACATAAATAAAGCTCTTCGTAAGGTGTGGACTTTACTTGTGAGTACAATTTTTTTTTATTTCTTTAAGACTTCAGCTACTAGGAATGAGTCTGTAGGAAACTTTTCCAATCAATCCGAGAGTTTCAACTACAATGGGAATTGTCGGTGTCGTCATGTTGAGATTTTCACTTCAAGATTCTTGTACTTTGATAGTTTTTTGAAGATCTTCCAAGATACATTACAGTCTGCAGGGAATGCCATGTCAATAAGAAGGCATATTCTGTTTTTGTGGTTTCTCATCATGATGTCTGTGCGATTAGCTTTTATTATTCTGTCTACTTGTATTGTAAAGTCCCATAAAATTGTTACCAGCCCTACCCCTGTAACCAGGTCTGGCTGGTGTTCATACCAATTTCTTGTAGTTTCCTTTCAGTAAAAGCTGCAGATTTTCCAATGCACATATTCACCCATTCTGTCATACTGGGTTTTATATTCAGTGAGTGTCAATACCGTGCAACCTCATACAAGATGGTCAATTCTTTCTGGATATTTATCACAGAATCTGTATTTGGGGTCAACACGATTTTTCAGTATGTGTGCTTGGTAATTTCTAGTTAGCAAGCATTGGTTCTGTGCATCAAGAATAGAACCTTCGCATTCAGGATTTAAACCTGCACTAGGTAGCCACTGATGGGTACAGGTTTTGTCTACTTAAGCTTGTTTGGTATAGGCAGAGTATAAACCATGAAGCGGTATATCTTGCCTTTGTTTCTGGATCTGGTCCATTATATTTGCTTTTGTTTTTGCTTTCTTTTTATTATTATTATGACTGAATATATGATATGGTAAAACCCTTTAGGAATAGAAAGTCTCTCTGACTCGTAGTAAATTAGTTTTGAAAAAGGCACCAGCCTTCAATTTTTGGACGATTCTTCAACATCCAGAAAGTGACACCAGACTTTTGGCCTGTAATTTAGGGCAATGATTTCCAACTTTGTTTTTAACCTAGCGCCCCGCTTTGAACACAAACTTTTTTTGTCAATGTCAACTTAAAATTTGAATATTATACTGAATTTATCCTTCATAGCAAGATAACACTTAATATTAGTGCAGAAATTGTTGTGGATTCCGAGATGAATTCGGTCGCCAATGAAGAACAAACGCAATAATTAAATATAAGAAATAAAATGTATTTACACAATCATACAAAGGGTAATACTGTTAGTAAATCCAGGAACACGGTTAGTAGCAAATACAGATGGATATATACTGTCTCGAAGAAGGACTTCCTTAGAGTCTACGTGCTTGTAACTGACTTCTACAAGAGGCTACCTCACACTATCTCCGTTCGTATATTCTCTCTCTCTTTCCGACTACCCTCTCACTATCCGACTACCCTCACTGACTGTCTAACTCTGGGTATTTAACAGCAGCCGCCCAAGTAACACTGGTAGAGTCCACATATGAAAAAGGGGTGGACCCCATAACAGAAATAATTTTAATATTTTTCTCATTTCTATTATAAATGCCAATGATTAAAATGCTGAAAAACCGTTTATTTGATAGATTATCTCAATGAGTTCAATGCAATGGTTGACTTTGGTATTGACTGGATAAGGCTCTTATTTTAGGTCCATTTGATAGCTGTCTAAATATTTTCAATGCGATGGTTGACTTTGGTGCTGACTGATTAAGGCTCTTGTTCTTGGTTCCCGGCTGCTGAGAAGAAATCATAGATCTCCTCATTTTGTAAGTTGCTGGCTGTTTCTTTGTTTAGTAAGAAACTGTGGAGCTATATTCAGCCATATAGGAAGTTGGAAAAGCAACAAAGAAATGTTTGATAGCTTTCCACAGCTTTAGTTACACTTCAGAAATTTCCTTTTGTAGCTAATATTGAATAATTTTTAAAACTTTGAAAAAAAAATGGATAAATGTCCACTGCCCCCATAGTATGTTCAACCCTCCAAATGAAATAAAAACATCCAGTGCCCCCTTTAAATAACAGAGACGACAAGGGAGCGCAACACCCACTTTAGGAGACGCTGATGTATGTTACTCACCGATTCCCCTTGCTACTCTGGTGTTCAGTATATCCTCTGAGTGTTAAATTCTGTCTTTTCTCATTGTGTCCCATAAGTTTTTACTGTCTTTCTACTTACATTGTAAGTATAAACTTCCTTAATGTTCCTATTTTCTTTATAACTTCCTCATTGCTCACATGTTCAGTATATGGGATTCTTAGCATTCTTCACAAGAATTTTAAAAAATCAATGTCTCTTATATTATAAAAAAAGAACCCTTTCCTTTGATTATTTGCAGAAGTTACTAACACTACCCCAATGAGCATGATCGAGGTTCAACGAAAGCTGTATTTACAAGAATGTAAAAAACTTAATGTGATTCCAATCCGAGCTCTGGCCGAATTAACTGAAAATACGCGGGAATTAAATTTCAGTCATTTCAATCTTGGTCCGAAAGGAGCGATGGCCTTGACGTTTCCACTTCACGTAAGTCGGAAGCCATTTTCTTTTTCTTCTACAGATTCAATCATTCAGTTAGAAACATCGAAATAACAAACTTCAAGAAAAGATAAAATTTATTTTCAAAATATGAAATAGTTTATAAATAAATTTTCGGATACAGCCACAAATCAAACTATTTTTTAAATAATAATAATTAATTGACAAAATGACAGGAGAGTTCCATAAGATTTATACTAACCTATTTGATTATTTGTTTTTACTAACGAAGCAACAGATGGAAAATTTCAAGATGTGCATATTCCCCATCACGTTATTTAAGTTCCAGTTGCATTCCATTTACGCTGTTGCGTTTCAGTCGTTTTGTCGTGTTGATTACTAGTACAACCGTTTTTCTCTAGAAAAGTAATATTTGTACAAATAGTTGTACTTTTATATTTTTATGCAATTATAAACATAACTTGAAGAAAACTGTCATAGTTTCGAAATATTGTTAAAAATTGTTAAACCCTGTATTTTGTCTTTTCCTACTCAAACGGAATCTGCTTCGAGATCCAATCAGCTTACACACAAAACACACACACATTTGTGTGTGTATATATATATATATATATATATATATATATATATAAGAGGACATTGAAGGAAGTCAACACCCAAAGGCGACTGTCTGTTTCATGCTAAACGTAATCGTCAAATTATCCACACACACACACACACACACACACATATGTCTGTGTGTGTATGTGTATGTGCATAGATAACTTCTTTACTATCATATGCACATCCACACACATACATATATATATGTGTGTGTGTTTTTATATTTTTGCCAATTTCCGAATGAGGTGTTGTCCATCGGGACAGAGATTATGAATAAACATTCCAAAGTTCATGTTTTTCTGTTTTGGTTGAATACCTTCGACAATCACCGTCATTATCAAGAACTGGGTGACTACATCTTAGCGTTTTTAGATCGCTGGAAATTAAATTGGAATCAGTTCAAAATACCGTCATAGGTAACGGGTAAACGGGAAAGAATATATCGAATATTTATATGTGTATTTTGAATGCGTTTTAATATATCATATTAAATATTAAATAAGGAGACAAACATTTTATTTAATTTTGTTTTTTCTTTTGTATTATAATGGTTTCTAGAATTTTGTGTCTTTTTTGCAAAGAGGCCTGTATAACATTTTGGTATTATCTCCTAAAATTTTGTCTGATGTTAATAGTTGTATCTTGATTGTTTATGATGTAATGATCACACACACACACACACACACACACACACACACACACACACACACACACACACACACACACATATATATATATATATATATATATATATAGGTAGCATATTTTCATTCAAGTCTGTTTGGTTAAATAATTTAGACGTATTATGTCTATTTATTTTAGTTTTAATCCTTAGAAGTCCACGAATTAACTAATTTCTTGTTGGCTCTAAAAAACGGATTAAGAAAAATTTCAAAATTTTCTTTCAAATACTTTTTATTTTTCCAAATCCTTTCAATCAGTTAATTTATAATATATATATATATATATATCCCCTTTTTTCTCTCTCCTTTTTTCCTTTTCTCCTTTTTATCCCCGTATATCTGTCTGTCTGGATTGATTCCATTTCTAAAACACTTTTGGTCTGAAGAGATGAATATAAAAATATTCATAAAACAAATTATAACCGAGATGGATTTTAAAAGATTTTTTGACTTATTATTATTATATTGCTCTGTTACTTACATTAAGTTCTCTTTGAATTAGTGTCTTCCTCGGAGTTATCCCTACGAATTACGAATTGGTATTATATATATATATATACACACACACATACACAGGGTGCGATGGGTAAATTGTCGCCATTTTATAATTTTAATTTCGTGCATGCATTTGTTTTTGATTTTGTTGACTACACAGTATAGTAGGGTCAGTTGGGCACCGTCTGTGAGAAAAAAGAGAGCCATGAGGCAACTCAATCCGCCAGAAATTTGGAAGTGTGCAGAAGATCCGGAAACAGTTGATGAATTTAATGTTTATTACGAAGGTGTTTGGACTGATCATTAGTGATGGCGACGTTATGCCTCCATTCATCTCCCCACATGACCTCAGACTTAACACGGAGGACTATCTCAAGTGCTTTGAACAAGTAGTCCTGCTCTTGGTCAAGAGGATGGCTGCTGGACAACCCTATCTCTGGCAACAGTTCTCAGCACCATGCCACATAAGCAAGAGAACCCAATCATGGCTGCCAGACAATTTCTCTGGCCACACAACTCCCCAGACTGCCATCCCCATTATTATTATAAATGGGGCGCACTTGAGCAAGAGATCAACAAAACTTCTTGTAATACCAAAGATAAACTGAAAGCTAGGATCATGGCAGCATTCACTAACTTAAACAAGGAGGCTGCCCAGAAGATTTACGGGAGATTCCGAAGTTGTCTGGAGGTTGGGGTTGAAGCCAATGGCGATTTTATTGAATATATTTATTCTTTAGTATTTAAAGTTATTTTTGTGCAATGTTGCTAAATATATCTGTTAAAACGAGATGTCAGTGTTATTTTTATTTCTGCGTAATTGAGACAACAATTTATCCATCGCACCCTCTATATTGCAATAAAAGTATAAAATAAAAAGTAGAACCCTCGAAACGAAGAATTGTTAGGCTACGTTCAAATTTTAGTCTTACTCCGCCTGTGGCGTTAGCTTTAAATATGGGGAGGTTAGAATATTTTTTCCTTTCCTCATAGGAAGTTGACCCCATCCAAGATGGAAAGGAGAAATTTTTTTAGTGTGTGGACAACTCGTCATGATCTCGGTCCTCTTGTTTAAAAGAGATCGTGAATCTGCGAACATCAAGATTGCCAGCTTTTCATCTTGGCATAACCTATAGAATTTATCCACCGCCTCATAACCCGTACTTTTCTTCGCTATCAGGTCATCCCATAAGTTCTGTGCGAATTTTGAATAAAGAAAACAAGTGACCAAATGTTACATTTAATTACAGATTCAATCAACAATGTATTTTCCCTTATTATCTATGACTTCCTTCCATCTATTAACAAGCTTACTAATTCCATTACTGTAAAATTCTTTTGGCTTTGATTTGAAGAACTCACAAATGTCAGTTTTAACCTCTTCCTGTGTTACAAAAGCTGTTTCTTCCAAATGATTCTGTAAGCTACGAAACAAATGGTAGTCTGAAGGAGCAAGATCGGGAGAATAAGGTGGATGAGGAATTTTCTCCCAACCAAGTTCTTCGATCTTTTGTGACGTAATTCTTGCTGTGTAGGGTCGCGCATTATCCTGATGAAACATCACCTCTTTTCAATTCACTAGAGCAGGTCTTTTTTTCCTCAAAGCTTGGTTCAAACGCTCTAATTGCTGACAGTATATTTGAGCATTAATTGTTGCATTAGGTGGTAAGAATTCAAAGTGGATTATTCCTTGGCAATTCCACCAGATTGAAAGAAGAACATTTTCCCCATGAAGTTCCCTTCTCAGCTGTGGCTGGGTCCTTTCCCTTTACCAAGCCACTGTCTACGACGCTTAACATTTCGATAAAAGATCCATTTTTCGTCGCCAGTCACAAAAAAGCTGAAACAAGTTGGCGAGAATGGAGAGAAGAGAAGATGTCAACTCGGGATTTGAGGTTGTTTTCAGACAATTCATGAGGCACCCATTTTCCAAGTTTAGGAACTTTTCCAAGTTGTTGAAGATGATGATGAACAGTTGTATGGTTTGAACTGAGAACCACTGCCAATTCCTCAACTGATAAAGCAGGATTTTCTACAAGGGCTACTTCAAGAAGCTTTTCATCAAACTCAACTGGACGTCCGGTTCGATCTTCATCTTCAAAGGTGAAATCTCCACCTCTGAATTTTGAAAACCATCTTCTGCAAGTTCTTTCATTCACACATTCCTCTCCATAAACCGAGTGAATGTTTCTAGCCGCTTCGGCTGCTGAGTTTCCTTTCTTGAACCAAAGCATTATGTGCCTCAAATTTCTTAGGTACTTCCATGTTAGCAGGGTTTTAATCAAACAAAATTTAATTTTATTGTTCTCTGAAATAAAATTTGATCAGTTTAAATGCATCTAAACATAAAAATAATGTTCAGCTTCATTAGACATTATAAAATACTCTTTAAATTTAGTTCATTTTAACAAAAAGTTAAAATCCGGACAGAACTTATGGGATGACCTGATATTTTTATCTTTTATTTTCCAACCATATTTCGATAGCACTGTACTGTTGCAATATTTTAGTAACCTGAAAGATGTTATATGTTTATAATACCATCATATAAACGTGCCCTCGGTCGAACCAATATGAATCATTGTGGTGTGGCCTTCAGCTCGATAAACAACATTTTCAGTCAGACAGTTGTCGTTTAAGGGACAGTCGTTGCTTCTACGACAATTATACATATTCATGCGAGGCGTAGGCCGACCCCTCAACACTTTCTGCTTCGTGATGATCTTTGTAGCTAGGAAAAAAGTATAGAAAAAGATTTAGACTGTGAAGCGAACTTTGGAGGACGCCTACGTTGATCGCTATGGCCTCGGATGACTGACCGTTAATAACTACCTTCAGGGAACTACATGTTATGAAAGACTTGATAATTGAGATAATTCTTTCAGTGATTCCATAACTAGAGAGCTTGTACAGAAACTATGTCACATCTTGTCAAAGGCCTTAGAAATATCTAATGTGATCATCCTTGAGACGTATTTGTTGTTTATTGCCTCACTGATCCTATGAGTAATGATAATTAATACATCAGCAGTGAACCGAACCGATGTAAACCCGTACTGTTTGTCGCTAAAGGGATTGTCCCTATTGAGATTATATTAATTCATATATTCGTATTATAATTGAGATGAATGGAAAGGGCGTTTCCTATTAACTGGCGTGCAGATCAGTTGCTACAAATGGGAACCATTATTGTTTATATCATTTTTATTATTTAACGCATTGCAACGAACGTTAAGCGTAGGTTGC